TCTTCACGACCATGTCGTCAATGTAGACTTCCACAGTCTTCCTGATCAAATGTTTGAACATCTTCGTCACTAGTCTCTAGTATGTTTCCCCTGCGTTCTTCAATCCAAATGGCATCACTCTGGAGCGATAGAGTCCCTTTAGAGTGATGAATGTTGTATTCTCTTTGTTTGGTGCGTATATAGCTTTCTGATGATAGCCTCGGTATGCATTAATGAAGCTCATCCTTCCATGGCCAGATGTGGCAACCATAAGCTGGTCTATCTTTGGCAAAGGGAAGCAGTCATTCGGGCAAGCCTTATTCAAGCTTGTGAGGTTTACACTAACCCTCCAATTGCCATTCTTCTTTTTTACTACCACTGTGTTGGACAACCATGGCGGGTAGTTTACTTTTCGGATTGCCTGTGCCTCCAACAACTTCTCTACTTCCTTTTCAACTGCTTGTACATAGACCAAGATTGGTCACCTAGTGTTGCTTGCTTTTCGTGCTCCTTTCGGATACGATCAGCTCTACAGTTCGGACTCCCATGGTTTTGAATTTGATTTCACAAGTGCAATGTGAAATAGTGAAAACACAAAAAGAGTCCAAATCTGGTAATGCTTTTGGAAAATCGATGTTTAAATCAAATGCCAAAAATGGACTGCTTTGCCAGATTACGGAGTCGCTACCTAAATATTTTTGAAAAATTTAGGAAACCCCGTGACTCGTGCCAAAGGCCACTTATCTATCATCACCAAAGTGTCTCGGCTCGGGAACTTAGGTACGAGAGGGGAATGTCATGAATTGAGCATCCCACTCACTAGATCAAAGATTGGCCTCTACTAATCATGATGTGATTTTTATTTACATTATATGCTCTTGTTCTGATTTTTAGTTAATTTTACTATGTGTGAGCAAGCAAGTATAAACTAATTTGCAAAAGTTAGAACACTTTGATTTCATGCTTATTTTACAATTAGTTTGAATACGCATCACTTAAAAAGGTGAGTTTGTATACACATTAATCAATGCATCCCAATTTTTGCACTTACCTTCATCCACCGGCACTTAAACAAGTATATCAATTAAGCATTTAGCCTCAAGGAAAGAATGCTTGATTTAGAAACAATCACACTCATGCGATATACTAAAACACAAAATTCTCACATAGTACTCCAAGGCAAGCCAAACAAAGCAAAATAATTAGAAAACATGCATGCTCCTAACTTAATGCAATGTGACTAATACAACGCACACATATATGCAATTTTTGTAGGCTCATACTATGAGCATGGTATATGATCCAATTCAAGATATGCGATAAATCACGTTTTCAAATAATGAAGTTGATTTTGGCATTGGTTAGTATGATGAGCCAAACCCGATGTACATGAAACGAGTGTATGCAAACATGAGAGTGCTAAGTAAATATGATGGGACCATTATGAACGGGTATATAAAGGGAGCAAGAAATGGGGTTAGAAGACATACACCATTATTACATATTTACCCTCATGCAAGAGGGTCTGAATAAGTGTCCGAATGTCCGGATTAACAAACTATTACAAATCCAAAATGAATACTAATGCGCTAAATTAACTAACTGCTTATTACAAATTCGAGGAACACTAAGCTAACTATCTAATTTATTACAACAAAGATATTTACCATAACAATAATATTCAATGAAATTGCAAAAACAATTAATATTTACAACAACAATAATAATTACAATAATAAGATAACAATACAAAAAATCAACAAGGCACAATGATTGCATGCATAGTGTCTAGAAGTTGCTCTATTTGGCCAGATTGTTCTGCCTCACCCTCAACCACTGCCCTCTATTTTTGCAAAAAGCTCACTGCTTACTCAGCATTTGGAGCTGGCCAGCCCCAAATGAGATCCAGCCGGGCCCAAAGAGAGCCGGTCGTACCCTAATTTTTATGCCAAAAGTGTTTTTGTGGTCTAAGGTGAGAATAGTGCAGACAAAGCCTTTCTAGGCCCTGTTTGTCCTTTCTACTCTTCTCTGTCATGGGAAACTTAAGAGAAGAACAATTTCAAGTCCAAAACCACCAACAAGTGCAATTTGATGGCTTGATGATCTCGAGCATGTTTGGACAAAATTTAATAAATGCAATGGAAAACCACCCTTTCTTCCTATCATGAAGACTCAAAGAGGAAAGTAGATACGCACCGAGTCTTATCAATATATCAAGGATTGATAAGTGACAATTCTCGGAACGATGGACTCGGTATAACGTCTTGCTGAATCCAATCAACTCTAAACATTTTCTTTATGTTGGTTTCATTGATTTTAGGCCAATTTGATTAATCCTTGCCATTCTTTAATCAATTTGTCCAAAGCGATGGTTAAGTCTACTAAATGAGAAGAGACCTCAAACGAGAAATGATTCTTTGCATAAGAGAGAGCCTATGCCTTGACGATTAACCTCTGTAGAGATTATGCCATTGAGCATTGGTCTCTTTCCCATGCCTTGAATAACCATCGATCGTTTGAAATAACTCTCAAACAAAATAAAAAAAAAGAAAAGAGAGAGGTTGCAGAGATGATTGTGTTATCAATTATTAGAATGAGACTCTTCAAAATAAGAAATTAAACAAATGAAGCTATTAACTGAAACAACTCGATGTCTAAGGCCTAAACCACCGAAGTTATGAGGACATACAATACAACAAGTTAATATTCAAAACATAAACTAATTTAACAAACTAGGACAACCCTAAACAACCCCAAATATGTAAATAAATAAATAGATAAAAAAGTGGCCAAAAATTAAGCTGAGGAGCACAAAAAAGATAGGAACACTACTAAAAGAAACACTTTTTGCAACCACCACATGCCGTCGTAAATAATAAAAATACAGTCGCAAAAGACTTTTTGTGATGGCCTATACGACCGCAGATGGGGGACGCAAATGTGGGGGTGGCAAATACTTTTTGCGACAATTATTTTGCCGTCGCAAAAAAATTTTAAAAATAAAAAAAACACTTTTAGCAACCATTGGTTTACTGTCGCAAATAATTATTTATTAAAAAAATCATATATGGGTTTGCAACAACAAAAAAATCAATTACAAGCACTAAACAATTTTTTGTAAATGAAAAATAACAAAATTAACAAATTAATTAAATTTATAATAGACATTGTCCATTAACCATCCTTAAATACACTGTACTAAAAAATTCAAGTCTTCAAAAAAAAAAAATGGCTCATAACATCAACTGCTCAATCATATCAACTATTCCCTCAACAAAATCTGCAAAAACATATATCAAACTTGGCTTGAAAATTTCATGCACTTCAATGTGTTAGTTTAGCTTGAAATAATCAAAATAAAACTATGTCAGTGACCTCTCTCTATGGCAGATCAGTGATTTGCAACAAGAGTTTCAATTATCCTGAAAGCAACTTCAGGCTTAACTATGGGATCACATAATCTGGCAATTTTGATCTCAGACATACACTCCCTTAGAGAACCATAAGCTTCATTGGTACTCAGGTTGCATTTCATTTGTCTTGTTTAAACTAGTGTATCTCCTAAAGTTTTTAGTGCATTAGGTTGCTAAGAATCAAAATAGTCTTGAGGATCCTGATCTAAGAAACAAATCATAAAATACCTATTTGCAATCAAAACTAACATGTGCCATTTTTTTTAAGAAGAAAGGCATACCTTAATGAAAAGTGGTGCCAATGGAGGGTCACGATGTGGCTGAAGATCCTCAATCTCAGCCAACTGAGAAATCCTATCTAAGCATTCCTGGTTTGCATTCCCATTAGATGTTTCATTAGCTAACTCAAAGATTTAGTGTTGAAACAGAAAGAATAAAAAAATGAAGAGTTAGGGTGAAGACAAAGCACTATATCATACTGAATTGCACAAGGAAAAGTGAACTATGCTAACCCTGTTTTGACCTGGCAAAAGCTTTAGCTACAAACCTCGTGTCTCCCAAGTTTAAATTGGACCCTAAAGTCATGGCATTCGGAATTATATAACATCTACCCACATGCATAATCATGTGCTTATATTCCAAATAGTAGAAAAATCAAGAGAAAACTAAGATAACCTTCAATATTGTGAATACAAATGGTTCTAAATTTCAAGGACTAGAAATATAAAAGAAAAATTAAGACAACTGTCAATCAATTTTGTTTTGTTTTTTTTTTTTTTTTTTTTTTTTGGGCATAGTTTGAGATCATGAAGCATTTGTTAAGTAACATTCAGAAAATAAGACAATGCTGATAGTTGTGCATAAGAAAAGTTACTAACTGATTATTTCAAGGAATCAATACTTCAAACTTTTGATGAATAGGTGTCAAAAGAATGGTCCATCAAATAATTCATTAAAAAGATTCAGAAAGCCCTTGCCTAGCCTCCAAAAAGGTACACATAATCAGATTTGCCTCCACCTAAATAAAAAGCACTGTAACAAAGACAAATAAATAAGAGAAAGGAAAACAGGTAGAAAGTTTGAATTATAAACATACCAACAGGGTCTGATGAATCAACAACTATTGCATCATACTTTCCTTTAGGTACATTCCGTAAAAATTCAACAACTGCCACAATAGCTATATAATTAGCTATACAATTAGAGGCATTAATTACGTAAAATTATTACTAACCTAGATTAATGGGCCCATATAAAATGGGTAATAAAATTTCAGATGCACATATTCACTAAACTGCATGTAAAACTTAATCAAAGAGAGAATATATTTTTTTCACCATAACAATCATGTGTAGTTGGACATTTAACTTCAAATGTATCTCTAAGTACATATGCCTATCAAAGTTCAACTAGAATAAAAGAAAAGAAAAAAAGAAGCTGCTATGGATTCAAAAGGTTCCTCACACTTAATTGCATTATAATTTCAATAATCTAAGTATGGCTATATGTCATTTGAAATTAAATTTGAATAAAAATAGAAACAAGAAACTCATCATGAACTATGGAACCCATGATTTATGAAAATTACAGTTTTGGGGGATTGAATTAAACAAAGGAGAAGATGAGTTATCATCTCCTGATAGACAAATTCATCTTTCTCAGTCAACTGAACAATGCCATCAAGCACAAGAACTTTCCCATATGTTGAGGACTACAAATAAAAGGACTAGTATTAGCAAGAAATTCATAAATAAGAAAATAAATGGCAGAAAAACAGAAAGCAAGTTATCACTGCGAAGACAGACTACTACTAGGAGATGAAAATGCTGAACCTCAAAAACCAGGATTTCTTGGTACTCTGATTTATCCTTGTACAAAATCTTCTCTACTTTCATTGAGTGTGCTTCTCCTACAAGTGAAAACTCTAACTGACTTAACCATGGCCGTCGAATAATAAATCTGAAAAAACACTAACAATAAAAAGGGATAGTTTTAATTTTAATTTTTTCTCCCTTCATTTAGAAGGAACACCAGAACACTCCACTCAAGCTCTTTAATATAAGGATAGGTAATTAGGAACAATTAAAATTTCAATTACAATTTATCATATTCCAAGCATGCCTTACACTACATCTAATAAAAAAGTACATTCCAGCATGACTCTTTTCCCTCACGGATATATTGATGAATGAATTATAAGTTTTCTGGCCTCTAATATGTTCCAAAGCTAAAATGATTTATATAGGTGAGATAAAAAAATGCAACAAAAATAACATCTACCTGGCCACATTGGGTTATTGAAATAAGTTCACTTGCTAGCTTTACTTGTAAAAATCGAACAAAGAAGAAAAGGAGTCAACAAACACGACCCTTTGACTATTATCAAGCAAATTTAAAAACCTGTACTGCAAGGAAAATAAGAATGTTGGAAAAAATGTCCAACGAAAAAAACAGAAGCAAAGAAGTATAAAAATAATGACCAAAGCATGATTCAAGTTTGGAGAACCATCCAGAAACAACTGTTGAATGGCATTTAGCCTCAAGCTTAGTGTTTGAAGCCCTCGCCTTCAAGCAACAAGAAGGGATAATAGCCTTATCCAAATCATTCACATTGTCATTCGCCTTTCCATCCATAATCTTCTGGCATTCCAAATCTTTTCCTGTGCTGTCCTCCATATATTATCTGTATTCAAATTGATAAAACAGAACTTAAGAAAGCAAAAGGGCAAATTTTTAAAGTTGGTTTTAAGGCTAAAGATTACATATGACCAAACCGTGTATATTTACCAGATGTGCTAGAAGGCATAAAAATTTCACAAGTTGAGACACAGATGTAAGACAAAGTGATACCATTCTGTGAAAATCCTCTTTGCACTTAGGCTTTCTCAATATCTATTGGTTGGATTTCCCATCTCTCTCTCTCTCTCTCTCTCTCTCTCTCACACACACACACACACACACATACACACACACAACAATAAATTTGGTTTCAAGAATGCTTGAATTTTGTGTGTGATTCTTAATTTGAGACTGAATGTTATGCAAGTGCTTTTGTTTAATTCTAGGTTTGGTGCTTCATGGTGAATTCTTGCCAGGATTTTTATTTTGAAGGCAGATTCATTTGCTCGTATTGTCAATCATGCATCACTTTGGAGTACTATTTGGCATTTGGGAAGAAAAAATGGAAAGATCAATCATGAGTTCAACAATCACTACACTAATTAATTTAATGAAAATAGACGAAACTAATTGGGCTGAAGTTATGAAACAATCATGTAGTCAACACTACACTAAGATCAATCATGAGTTCAGCAACATGCACAAGATGACAACATTGTAATCCTGAAAATTAATAAAAAGCTTCATTGAATCTTCAAGTAGATTATATATGACTTACAGAATAATAGATGGATATCTAGTGGGTTGGATACTAAATGAGGGATGATGTGGCATCTGCAGCCAAAATAAGAGAAAGAAAACAGCAAGTGAGAATTAGTGTTATGTTGTTGTTATCTTTGAATGAATATACATATACTATGACATATAATAAATACACAAATTCTCCATTGCCATTCTAATAATTCAAAAAATAAAATAACATAAAGGAAAATCAATTTATAAAAAATCCAACTCTTATTCAAAACAGGGAATTAATGGCATCAAGACAAATTGAAAAAACCCAAGGCAGCATTTAGGCAGACACATAAAAAAATAATCTAACTTGCTTTCAGGCAGACACATACATGCATAATTTTTGTTCTGTTTTTTCGTTATAAATCTAGATTTTAACCTTTGAGTTTCGCTTGGTTACAATACTATAGCTCAAAGCCTCTTGTTCATTATCAACCACCTATTTTTACCTCTAGTATACCTAGCAATTTCTTACACACAAACACAAACTTGACAAATAATTTGGTCCCTTGCTATTCCTTTCGAGATTGAGATGTCTCTACAGCAAGCCTATGAATTATTACATTGAATTTTCTTGTTCATTTTTTACCTATATATTATTTTGAGACAAACAAATGAGCATCTATTTTTTTCTTCTTCTTCAATTTTATTTTTTATTTTTTTTGTGAATTCTCTACTCCTGTTTATTACATTTTTTGACCTTCTTGGCTAGATGAGTGACTCTATATAATAGAAAAATCTAGTAATAAGGAACAAAATTATTTTCCATGCAAACTTGCTTTCCATTACTAACCAGAGAAGAAACAAGTCAAAGTAGATTGATCACAAAATAATCGCAGAACAAAAAATAATCGAATTCAGATGTGTGTATATAAATATGCATGTATACATGAGAAGAATTGAAATGGATAGAAACTTTTCAAATGAGAAAAGAAAGAATTGCAAATAATTAAAAACCTAGATTTCCTAAGTCAGATAGAGAGAGAAGCAGAGGTGATAGATTACATTAAACCTAAGAAATTACGAGTGACTATGCAATTAACTAATTCAATTCAATTCATTCAATGATATCATTAAACAGAACATAGAGTGATGATGACTAGACGAAACAAAGGAGCTTCGGGATCCGCAATGCGAGTTAAGGCTATGTCGGAGCTGAATAGATCCGACTCCGCCTTAAATCGGAGAGCAATGTCAGAAATTAGAGAGTTTCAAATTGCCAAAATGAGTAGAAATTTCAGCAGATTTGAAGGCGACAGAGGTCGATCCGACAGGAGAATAAGCAACCATGGCAGCTTCGGTGATTGAAGCGAGAGAGAGAAAGAGAGAAGAAGAAGAAGATCGCTACAAAGACAAAGAAACGATATTTATGAAGAAGAGAAATAGAGCAATGTGTTGTGGTTGATTAATTTGCTTTGGAAGCTCCAAAGAGTGTGAGAATGGCGATGCATGTGAAGAGCTTCGACGGTGGATAGTGAGATTCGAGCAAGAGAGAGTGGAGAGTCAAAGGAGAGAGTCGAGCAAGAGAGAGAGAGAGAGAGAGAGAGAGAGTTCATATACCACCGTTGGAGACAGATTTGGGAAATAAGAGTGAAAAAGGGAGATAGGTCAAGTTTTTAACAACACAACTAGGTGATTTTTTTTTTTTTTTTTTAACGTAGAAAGTGATTTTTGCGACTGCTAAACAATCTGTCGCAAAAAAATAAATGCAAAAAGTCATATTTCTAGTATTTTCTAAAGAAATGACAAGCCACACTAGGGGATGAAACTCCAACATGCTCACCCCACTAGCCTTCAAAGCTTGTCTCACTAAGCAATGCGCAGCTCTATTGGCTCCTCTTCAAACAAACCTTGCCTCAACGGTGAAAAAGCTCTATAATTGGCGTTATCATCAGCTGAAAACATGGTTTTGATTTATTTAATGACAAGGTTTGTGGCAGCTCTAAACCCTCAAACTAAATTTTATGATTTTTTGATTTTTTAAATAATAAAAAACATTATATTGGTTAAACTCTTATTTAAACATAACAATAAACTCTAATTATTCCATAAATTATGATTTTGAAAAGGAAAGTACGCTCAACTATTTCAAAATTTAAATTTGTGTGCTACTATATATGGAAGCAATTCACTAAAATCTAATTATTTTTTATTTTTTAAAAAGTCTATTGGTATAGCGATCCCGATTTTTCCTCTTCATGTTTAATTGTATTCCGGACTCGGTTTCGTTGATGTGTTGTTGCCTTATTCTCGTTTCCATCCTTTACTCTTTGTATTTGAGTCTTAGGTTGTGTTGAACAGGTTTAGAACAAGTTGGTTGTGTTCGGAAACAAAAAGTTGATGCCCAGATTTTGGCCTCCACGCTCGAGCGGGGCTTTTGACGCTTGAGCGGACCCTTTTGTTTTTGTTTCTCCGCTCGAGCGGGCGTTTTGACGCTCAAGCGTGATTTTCTATCTCTCAGTATTTTGTTCTGCAGGTCGTTGGACGCTCGAGCATCCACTTTCACGCTCGAGCGGGGACCATCGACTGCAAAACTTCTGGATGTGTGCATCCAGCATTCGAGCGGCGCTTTTGACGCTCGAGCATAAGTCTGTGTCTGATGCTCGAGCAGGGAATCCCACGCTCGAGCAGACCTGTTTGTATTTCAGTCTGAATTTTGACTTTTTGGATCACTTTTCGGTACCTCTTCTCTCTCTAACTTTTCAAAACCTCCATTGGAGAGCTCCTCACTCTAAAACTTCAACTTCTCTCTAGGGTTTGATCTAGTTTGAGTGATCTCCTACCTTGGTGTCTTTATAAAAAGTGTAGAGCTTGGCTTGGGCTACATTTCCATCCGAAAATCTTGGGTTTTGGAGCATTTCAAAATTCTTCATCTTCTCCATTTGGTCTCTCCATTTGAGATAGGGATAACTACTCCTTTTATGAGCTTTAACATAGATGTTGGGCACTTTGTATAAATGGTTTGATTTGGGGAAGTTAGGGTTTGAGATTTTAAATATTGAAGAGAGGGGTTTTGTTATTTTGACCAACACATATGTGTTTTGGGTCTTAAAAGATGGTATTGATGTTTATTGTTAATATTTGGACCTTTGGGGTCAATGTTGAGAAAAGGGGGAAAAAGCCCTAATTTATTATTATGAACTAATTTGTATAATTAATTTGGAAAAGTTATGGGAATATGGACTTGGGTTGGAAATAATGAAATTGGCATATTATGGGATTGAATGGTGGAGTTGGATTTATTAATCACCCACCTTTGAAAATATTGAGAATTTATCTGTTGGTGTAATTGTTATCTATTTAGAAATAATTACTTTGGGCTATCGGTGGAGGATAGTCTTGATTGTTGTAGACACTGTATGTTGATTAGGGAAAACTGAAACCAATCACATTGAGTATGACATTGAATATGACGGTTGAAATAATACATCGAATATCTGTATTGATGGATCATTGTATATGATAAGTGTTTATATGCATTGTATTGTGTGGAAGGAGATAGGGGATGTACTCTACGGTTTGAGAGGAGATAGGGGATGGACTCCTAAACCAGATATTATTTGGGAGGAGATAGGGGATGGACTCCATTGATACAGCAAATCTGTGTATCTATTGTGAAGTATGGAAGTGTTTTAGTATGACTTTGATACAGCAAATATGTGTATCTAATGTGAAGTATGGGAGTGTTTTGATATGAGTTGTTATCTCATTTGAAATTGAAGTACTGTTGATATGGGATGTAGTCTCATTGAATTGAATTATTTGGCCAGGTTCTAAGCCATGTTTATGAATTGAATCGGTTAAGTAAAGGAAAGTGGAATGAAACATGGACATATTTGTCATGGAATTGGAATATGTTATAAGTTGGTTTATATGAATTAAACATTTATCAAATGCTAATGTTTTAGTTATT